CGGACTAAGGATGAAAAGTAAGTAATAGCGCCCCGTGGAATCTGTTGTTAATGTTAAAAACATAATACCAATAATAAAAAGAAACGAAAATTCTATGCCCTTTAATACGTGCCACTGCAGAGAGAATATTGGCAACGCAATTGTAATTTGGTGTTTTCACTTGACTCACCAAACGTAGTCCATAGCTGATTCTTGAATGTCGTGATATTGTCTACCTCATCGTCTCTGGCATGATATGGAAAATAATGAAAGATGAAAAGATGTCTGCTGAAGCGTATGTCCAGGGTTCATCAAAGTGCACGTTCTTATATTAAAGAAACTAATGAAAGTTAAATGGAAAGGAATAAAGGTGGTAGAAAAAAAAACAAGCTTCCATTATATGCCATATTTAAGGGAAAAGAAATCTGTTTTTTGTTGGATTGGAAATCAGGTACTAAAATCAGATACTTAACTATATCTAAGAATATAAATGGCAGGTCCTTCTTAATCTAAAGGCTGACACAACACAATCTTCATTCTCTTTCCATTTTCTTCTATTTTCATTGTACGCGAATAAATTAATTTTAATAGATATCATTGTAAAAAAAAATCCATATTTTTTAACTTGAATTTATCCCTTGTTTCCTGTTTAGGATTGGACTTCCGCTTCCTTCTAAAGTCTTTTCCTTCTCTTTCACTTCCGGTGCCCCTTTCATCATGGTGGCATTATCACCTTGTTTCGGGTGGTGCCTCTTACTTGTAACCTTCTAAATCGAGTCTTGTACAGGAGGAACATCATTGTAAAAAAGATACATATATTTTAACATGTATTTTCCCCCTTGTTCTATGATTAGGATTGGGTTTCCGTTGCTTCTAAAGTCTTTTCCTTCTCTTTCACATCCAGTAGCCCACTTGCGCCTTAGTCACATTATCACCATGCTTGGAGTGAATTGATAAAAAAACATTTTTTATTATCTCGAAATTAAAAAAAATGGCCCATATCTGGATTTGAACCCTGTATCTTGATTGCCGTAAGGGCTGTCTAACATAGATCGGAGTTCAAACTTAACCAAATGCTAAAATTTAAGAATTTAATAACTGTTTCTTAGATATTTTCCCCTATTTTAACTATTGTAGATAGTTATTAACAAAATTTGGATTTGACGATTGTCTTGCACAAAATTCAGAGATTTTTAAATATATATAAAATATCTTAAATTTCTTTTTAGTCATTTCATTTTTTTATTCTAATATTCAGTCTTTACTTTTCAGTACACAAAAGGCTGTCTTAACATTTGTGAAGAATATACAATTTTCTTTTCAAACTCATTATGTCATTGGCCTTTACCAACTTTTCACTGTTTCCTCATCATTTATAGCCCATTGCTAATTTACATTACTTACATTATTCGGATTATTATTCTCATTTTCATTGCCTTATTCGCAACGTTCCGACCGTTGTATGCTCCGGTCTTCTTCAGCTCATCCCTTTATTTCGTTCACCGTAGCGGTATGTTCTAGTTCCACGTGCCATGCCTCTTCTAGATGTCTTTCAGTTATTTCCATTTAACTCAACTCTCCAAGTTTTTGGTTCACCACCCTTGTAGCCAGGTATTGAACTCACAACTCCTTGGGTCTAGTCACTGGATATAACCAACGTCTTTACCCACTGGGCCATGTGTCCTTGATTCTATGTTGTAATTACTACAACGTTTCGGCCGAGTCTGTCGATCTGGGTAATCTTTAGGGAATTTCGAACTGAACATTTCATTTAATCTATGAATAGATTTTTCTCACTCCATTGTTTATGTCTAGGCACAAGTAAAAATGGAACAAGACGAGTTATCTCCCCTAGAAATGAACAGCTGAAGAACAAACTTGCCCGTAAATTAAATAAAGGGTTCAGTTCGGAATTTCCTGAAAGTTACTTGAATGGACAGATACCTGAAGAAGGCTGGAAAACACAACAGCTGCAACGTTGTGATAACAACTATAGGTTGGGGTATTAGGCCTAATGTAAATCATGCGAATAATGATAATTCCTCGTCCCAGAAATTCAAAAAGAAATATCTTCAAGAATCGGTAATTTAACCTGGCTGCAATAATTACCCCAAGAGAAGGAACAATACGGTTGGCCTTTCATGGATTAATTTTGTTCCGAAACTTAAGACGCACGTGTGACATCACTCGAAAGCCAAAATTTGTTTTTATTTATTTATTTATTGTGGCGGGTTGCCCACGAAAATATGAATCCATGGATACGGAATTGTAACTTCAAATTGATTTACCTCACCTGCACGAAACTTTAATTTGCTTCGTTACATAAAAATTGTGTATCTTGAAATTAAACATTTCTTTTACGTTAATTAAATTTTCTGCAATGCGTTCACTGAACGATTTCTTATTTACATTTCTTTTATAACCAACCCTTTATTCGTAGAGAGAAATTCTATTTATTTCTTAATGATTTACCAAACGCTTTAAGCTAAATAATGAAGCCAGTATTGTTTTTCTTAAATGCAAACCGCCTTTATTTTTCCACATTTAAAACAAAATTAAAAACTGTCTTTCCTAAAGTTAAGCCATCCGGGTTAATTTAATTCTAAACTTTTAATTCACAATAAAAACACAATGTACGATTAGCTCTGAAATTCATTAGGCTTTTCGAATCTTATTTCAAAAGACGAAATATGCGTTTCTTGAAAATATTAATGAATAAATTCTGCTTTTAATTAATAATTCTATTTGATCGTTCAGGGTATTCCTAAAGGGTTTGTCCCTCGGTAAATTGTCAAAAGATAATCAATAATAATCTAAAATCTTCATTTTATATAAATGAAATATGTCATATTTTTTAGATAAATTACCGATATTATTAGTTGAATTACTTATTTAAGAGTGTGTCTCAAAGTTTATAGCAGAATGATATATAACAAAATGACAGGGTCTATCAGTCTCATTACAATAAGTGCAAAAAGAAAAACCCAGATTAAAACCTAATGCTGAGATCACAAAATTGATTTTTTTACTTATACGAATTCTACCTGGAGAGTACTTATTCAATTTGAATATCTGGATAATCAGTTGCGAGGCCGTGATTTAACCATGTTGACGTCAGAGCGCATATTTGGACAATCTCCGGTTAGGTTTCTACATCGGCAGTGAGACGACACTAAGTCAGCTTGCGTAATGCATATCTATTACATCATGTGAATTTGCCTGCCGATTATTCACATTCTGTGCAATATCTCAGGCAAAATATAACAGCATCTAGGCTTTTCACCACTGACTTTTATCCAAGGCTTTAAAAGGGAGATTTTGTGTCGAAAATACGAAATTATCTCGAAAGAGGCTGAATGCGCATTTCTTCATTGCGAAATCGAGACCAACATGTTCTCCAATATGAGCACTGGAAAAAATGGTTGCTGAAGACATTAGATTTATAATACCCAAAAATTCATACACAGACAATTTCTCAAGGACACATGGCACATTGGATGAAGGCGTTAGTTAGATCCAGTGACAGGACCCAAAGTGTGTGAGTTCAATGCTCGGTTAAGACAGTGGAAAACTTGGAGAGGGAAATTAACAGGAGATAACTGATAACTGACATCCATTAAACATGACACTTGGAACTAGAATAGTCTACCTCAGTGAGCGAAATAAAAGGGTTTCAGTTCGACATTCCAATAAAGTAAAGAAGGCATAATACCTCATCTCAGAAATATAGCAGATACTGAACGGACGAAACGTTGTAATAAATATCGCGACAAAGATGAGGACAATAGTCCGAATAAAGTAAATAATGTACATAATACCTCATCTCAGAAATATAGACAGATACTGAAAGGCCGAAATGTTGTACTAATTATGGCAACAAAGATTAAGACAATAGTCCGAATAATGTAAATAGTGTTTAAAACAGATAATAAAAGAGGACGATAAATTAAACAAGCCTAGCGTGCTAAGCGTCTCATCAGTGTCGGTGGTTCAGAACATGTGACCGCCAGATTTATAACACCCGCCAAAAAAAAAAAACGAAAAACAATCTACATTGTGTCTTTTTCCTCCCAGACTTATTTCCCTTCACCGAACAGCAAGAGATTCAAATTCAGACAAATCTGGTTAAAATTTCATGAAACTTGTCTACAAATTAATATAACTTTTTTATAAACTGTTTATTTACTGCTAAAAATGCCACAATTATAAACTTGACTTTGTAATTATTGTAAAATTCATTTATTTTATAATTGTAATGACATAAATATTAAATTGATGCGCGCGTTGCGTATCGGTGCACAAAATAGGAATGGCGTGCCAATTTCAAATTCCAACTGAGGTCTTTGCGTTTATTTTTCGCATAAATAGCCTTTTATAAATCCATACCTTCTCTTAGCAGGGTAAATTGGGTCTTTTATCCTTGTCTGGCAACTCGAGTCCAGTTTGGTGTGGCGCTAGCAACTCAACTCCATAACAAGCCTTCTTCTACAAAAATCACAACATCAACAACTAGCGTGGCGAGTATGTTCTTCGATATTCCACATAGGAGTCTACATGACGTTTTCAATGTTCACCCAATACAAGGCTCGAGAGCAAATCAAGGTAGAGGCTTACTGTCAAAATGATTATAATGAATTACATAAAAATAATGGTAATTGCGAGCAATTCGCACCCGAACATATCTGTTTGTAAAATCCCTGTTACAGACGCATTCTCAGACACATTTGTTATATTTTCAATATATTTTTCGAATTCTGAATTAACTTAAAACCTTTGCAGATGAACGCATTGTTATTTCAAAAACAAATCAAAACGAAATTGCTTAAGCGACCAATTTTAAAACGATTGATCGACAAGGACTGAAAGTGATTTTCTTCAATGCTTTTAACTCCGGCATTCAGATTGCCAACAAAATCGACAACAGCTTTCAGTCTGGAGAATATACTTGAAGGAAGTCAATTTCTTCTGCATCAAGCAGAATATGCAATTTGTGTTTTAAATATAAAAATAAACTACCTTTATTATAAAAACGATAGATAGATAGATAGATAGATAGATAGATAGATAGATAGATAAGGAATATACTGTACTAGATAGATAGATAGATAGATAGATAGATAGATAGATAGATAGATAGATAATGAATATACTGTGATAGATAGATAGATAGATAGATAGATAGATAGATAGATAGATAGATAGATAGATGAACACTGTAGTTCTAAAAAGAGGTGAGATTGGCTCATTCAGCCGATTATTAAAATTGCACTCTGTCATTAGTTTTACAATTAAACATGACTCTTCAACCATATTTTTTAAGTTCCTATGTCATAGATATCACTGTAGGTAAAAAAATATTTCATGTAATATTTGCCGGAACGCAAACAGAAAGAGTAAAAGGAGAATAAAGCCTTTTTGATAAAATCTTTATCCGATTAAAACAAAGTCTAGCTACAAAACTTGTACCTGCACAATGGAATGCTGAAACAAAAGCATATGGGAATAACTTTGAAATATTTGTTAAATTAAAAGTACTTGAACGTTCTCAAGGAATATGTGATAGTTTAGTTTAGTTTAGTTTGGTTTGGTTTGGTTTGGTTTACAACATATCAACCTCAATGGGTTATTTAATACCGACAAGATTTTTATTGCTGGTAATATTTTTTTCAAAAATGTATTGCAGGTAATAATTTTTTTCCTTCAAAAATGCATTGCTGGTAATAATTTTTTACCAAAATGTATTGCTGGTATTAAAACCTATTTTGACATTTTTCATAGCGTTTTGACCCCCGTTAGAGGTTAACTATTTACCCATAGCTGGGACCCTAACAGGTTCTACCACGCGAAGTCAAGGTGGACCTAGGAACATCAACAATTAAAAAGTCGTTCAACGCTTCTCAAAACCTCATGATCAATGGCCTTACTGTTAGATGTTGTTTATCGTCGTCATTCCTTGCTCACATTGTGTCCATATTAAACAGATATAGAGTCAGTCGTTTTGATTCAGATTCCTTCAAAGTGGATAATAGTTTAGCCGAATGTGTTCGGACTCAAACTTTTGAACATTTTTTACATTAATAAATTCAGAAAAAGAAGAGACTTTACGTAAACGAAGAAATACAAAAAAAAACTATAACAAAAGTATCTTATCAGTTTTGTTCCACTGTAGAAAATATCAGCGAGTAGATATGTTGTAAAATCATTGAGCGTATTTTGCTAAAATGTTTCTCTAATGTCTTTAAAACATCATTAAATGGTTAATATCTTTTTAAACACCAGTATTCACTTGCGTGATTTTAAATTTATAACGAAACCATTTCATATTTCCGACTCTTTTGTTCTTCTTTAACAGATTTCAGGGCTTCCAATTTGGCATTTATCTTTTAAATTCTATGAAATGGCATTTACGTTCCTGGAAAGCCTTTTTTGAAATATCATAAAGCGTTTTTAAGCGACATATTGCTTTCTAAATTGCCATTAGTAATCCGCTATAATAGGATGTTTTTTTTAAAACTTTCACTTAATGTGAATCCATTTTGTTCCAAAAAAAACAAATATGCGGATCGAATGGATATTTTATTCTTTGTCATTTTTTTCTGTAATTAATTGAATTTTTCTAAATTGACAATCCTTCTTCTGAAGAAATCGTCAATAGGAAGCATGATTAGCAGAGGCTTGCTTTGGCTGTTTCTATTTAGCGACATATCAACACCTCTATGGGTTATTTAATGTCGAAATCTGAATATTTTGTACACAATTTTATGCCTCCAACTACATATATTTTGTTCATAGTTTTATACTTTCAGAGTAATCGTATGTTTTATAGATATATAGTTTGTGGATGATTTATTGTAGGTGTTATATGTTTTAGTATAAACTTATTTTTTTACGATAGAACAATATGGGGGATTTTTTTTTTTTTGACATTTTTTATATTTTTATTTATTAATAAGATTACTTGTAAATTAACTTCGTTTTTCATGTCATAAGGGATTTAATAGAAGAACCTTTCGCCTGAATGCTTAGAAACGTTTGTAATATCGCTGTTTTTTAAAATGACCAATTACGAAAATGCTCCAGGAAAAGTAAAATTATTTTTAAAAGAATGGAAGGAGGAAATTGCGAAATAATTGCGAAATGGGAAAATAAATTATAGCCAAAAATATTACTGAGGTAATTAAAATTCTACAGTTTTCATTTGTTTTTGTCAATGTGGTCAGTGTTTGTTTAATATTTCTTGTAAATCAATCACTGTATTGTCATGTGGATATTTCAGTCGTACAATTATTGTATTTTTCTACACATTTAGTCATTATCTAATAAGCATAGGCAATACTGAGAGAATTGAAAATCCTCCCGGGGTTCAGCATTGGCGGCCACAGTCTTACCAACATAGGATACGCAGATGATACAGTACTAATAGCGGAAAAGAAACCTTCTACAGAAGGTAGCGAAGGAGAGCGAGAAGAAAGGACTAAGCATAAACTACAAGTGAATAGAATGCACGGCCATCAGCAAATGGACGATTTTCAAATCGGGGTGGGGGGCACTAAAATCAAGCAGGTGCGGAAGTTTAAATATCTGGGAAGTGTAAATGACTGTAAGTGCGACGCTGAGATCCGAAGACATTGGGATGGCCAAGGATGCATTCCAAAAGCTGGGTAGAGTACTGCGAGACAGGAGGATTTCTTTGGTGACAAAGAAAAAGTACTGAGCTGCTACGTGATATCTGTCCTCCTATACGGCAACGAATGTTGAATGGTCTCCTCAAAGATGAAGAAGAGACTCGAGGCAACGGAGATATGGTTCTACAGAAGGATGCTAAGGATATCATAAACCGAGCGTGTGAGCAACGATGAGGTTTTGGAGAGGATGCAAACAAGAAGGAAGCTTATACTTAATATCAGGAAAAGGCGGATGAAATTTCTGGGACACGTAATGAGAAAGGAGGGCCTGGAGAATCTGATACTCACAGGTCGAATAGAAGGAAAGAGAGACAAGGAAAGCAATGCATGACATACCTGGTGGGCTTAAGCAAGTGGATGACAGAATATGGTCTGGGGGAGGTGGCAGAGGGTCGAAACTTATGGAGAGCTACAAGGGATAGATGGGATAGGTTGTTCTGGATAGTGGACGTCACGGAGTTGGTCGGTAGTACTACGCATCTGTTTTCATGTAATTTATTATTACGGATTATGTTATTATTTTTGTTTCGCTTGTATATTTTGTATGCCTTTCTTCTTACGTTGTGGATGGAATTATATAGGTATTGTAGGGTTTTGAATGTGTTTTCTATGTATGGTTCTTCTTTAGGTAAATATTGGGGGCTGCAGATTCTTAATGCTCTCAGATAGAAACCTATAATAATTCCAGATTTAATTTTAGAGTGGGTTGAGTAGAATATCTATATATAGAATCACATCTAAATAATCTTAAAATAATCAGAAACACTTCCAAAACCATTATGGATATACTCAGATCCTCAAACACTAATAGTAATATTTCTGAAGCAGAAATAAATTGTCAAAACGGTTTCCTCCAATATATTGGAGAAACAAGAAAATTTTTAAAAAACGCATTTATGAGAACAAAAGAGACCTCACAAAAGACAACTTAACTGATGCACTAGTCATTGATAGAAATAAATTCAACTAAAATTTTTAATTTAAAATACTACACTCATAAAAAAAGAAAATAATTCATTCAGAAGGAAAAATCAGAGAGTGCCGTCATTGAATATTATCCAAATATTAATCTCCACCAAGGTTTTTTCTCAATATCACCTTTCCTAACGGAATTACTACTCTCCCGAGCAAACATACACAACTGTATCAAGAAATCAAAGGAAATGTTTGAATTTGTCAACACAACAATAAAAACAATATTTCCACACGTGACAGTACTTGACGTAATTTTCAGTTGACAATATGAATACGATAGAATTTTCTAAATTCTTCCAGTTGCTAAGTATATTTTGTTTGTTTTTAATATTTACTTTGTTTTTAATAAATTTATTTAATTTTTGCCTTGAAAAAGTCCACATTGGACGAAACGCGTCGGCTAATAATACAGTTTTCCCATTGTCTTTTATATGTTTACACACACACACACACACCCGCACGCACACACACACACATATATATATATATATATATAGAGAGAGAGAGAGAGAGAGAAACTAGTTGAAGTACTCGTCCACACTAAGTAAGAGGATTGAAATTGTGGATAAATTGGCCAATTTGTTTTTGTTCAAGTATTTTCGACCGTCTCAATCATTATCAAGAATAATGTGCTTGCAGTGTTGTGGGTAAGATTCGTTGACAACATCCTGCTATTTTATAGAGAGATTAATGTTTGGATCAGCTCAATATCACGCCATGTTAAAGGGAACGAAACAAACCAAAAATAATTTTATAAAATATCCCCAATATATATATATATTTTTTTTTATATATATATTAAATATTTTATACACACTCCAAGATACTGACTCTTTTGATGAAGGATATTTTATTGTAGGTTTAACAAGGATTTTCAGTTTTCTTTACATTGGGTGCTCTATATTATATATTCATAGTATTTTGGTATTTATCCACTAATATTTGTCCTATGTCCGTAGTTCTATTTTGATTGTTCATAATATGCTCGTCTATGTACGCACGAATTTTATCCTTTTTCAACAAGTGATAACTCAATTGACAAGAGAGTGGGGTGCATGTGCAACCGATATAAAAATTTAATACTTTATGTTTGTTGTTGATATTGGATATGCAATGGAATGATCATTCATAAACTACATTATATTTACAAGGGGTGGGGGTTGAGACTCCGTGTTATTGGAAATAATGACGTTAGATGTTTTGAACTTTTTATCGTAAATGGTAAATCTGTTTATGATCTTTAAATGATATGTTCCGGTAAATTATATTTTTAATAGCATCCTTTTTATAATGTTTATACTAAGTTTTTCTAACACCGAGCATTTAAAACCGGTGGAATGAATGACTAAGTGTGTAAGTAATCCTCGATACTGAATTAATTGCAGCTTTATGGTTGTTAATGGTTAATTCAAAAATCTCGTAGGGTAATCTCAAGTCGGTGTAATAGTTAGCAAGCCTGTCTCGCTAAGTCAATTATGGCTGAGTATTAAGTTCGATCCTGACTGGGTGCTGCATCTAAGCTACGCTTGGAAAAACACTATTTGGGTGTAATGGTTAGGAAGCTTGTTTCTTTAATTGAATTACGACTGAATAGTGAGTTCGATTCGCTTAGAAAATTTTTTTTTTTTCACAAATCCCGTAGGTCATCTCGTATCTTCTCGTTTTTGACGTTTTAAAAAAAAAAGTATGTGACACATTCTTCACCATTTCCAAATAATAAATAGAATAGTAAAAATCATTGATTCGAAACAGATTCTTAGTAATACACATTTAACATTGATATAGAACCTAAAATAGACATCAGGTGCCTCTCAATACATCTTGGAATTGAACCAATCATTTTTCTCTTTCAGCTTTCTCTGCTATTGTAAATATATTCATTCTTCAAGTTGACAGAATTATTGAATGAATTGTCCAATTGATAACTCAGATAAGATCGTTTGTGCTGCATTAAAAAAAATAGAAAAACAACGTTTTTTGGCCACTGTTGATGTTTGAGTGTGAACGAAAGTCTTTCACTTGTCTTTTAATAAAATCATCTGTGGCCGGCAGTGACATTGGAGACTTTACTGTGCTTGTGTCCTTTTGAACTTCTTAGCCTAATAACCACAAAGATTTTGTTTGCGTGGATAGCGTCGTAATAATTGGATAAATCGACTGACAGAAAAGACCTTTCGATTTAAAGATATCATTTTATGAAAGGATATCATAAATGCGAGGAGGGAGAGAAAAAATTTAAGAATGAAAAACAGAGAAAGATGAAAATTAATACAGACGAAAAAGCGAAAGTAAAGAAGGAAATTAACGAAGAAAAAAAAGAAGGTTTGATAGAGGACAAACTGACGAGTGTAAAAAAGAAAAAAAAGATTAATAAATTACGAAATAAAGAAAGAAAGAAAGAAAGAAAGAAAGAAAGAAAGAAAGAAAGAAAAATAATAAATGACGAAAATGAAGAAATAACGAATGGAAAAGAAAGAAAAGATAGATAGATAAGAAAATAAGACCAAATAACATGGACAGAATGAATGAAAGATAGATAGATAGATAGAAAGAAGAAAGAAAAGAAAGAAAGAAAGAAAGAAAGAAAGAAAGAAAGAAAGAAAGAAAGAAAGAAAGAAAATTAATAAATGACGAAATAACGAATGGAAAGAAAGAAAGAAAGAAAGAAAAGTAGAAAGAAAGAAAGAAAGAAAGAAAGAAAGAAAGAAAGAAAGAAAGAAAGAAAGAAAGAAAGAAAATTAATAAATGACCAAATAACGCATGGACAGATAGATAGATAGATAGATAGATAGATAGATAGATAGATAGATAGATAGAAAGAAGAAAGAAAGAAAGAAAGAAAGAAAGAAAATTAATAAATGACGAAATAACGAATGGAAAGAAAGAAAGAAAGAAAGAAAGAAAGAAAGAAAGAAAGAAAGAAAGAAAAAAAGAAAGAAAATTAATGACGGACTAAATAAGGAAATAATGAACGTAAAGAAGGAAATTAACGAAGAAAAAAAGAGTTTATCAAAGCCGAAATATTGAATGTGAAGAAAAAAAAAAGACAGAATGTAAAATGACGACAAACAATAAAGAAAAGGAAATGTTAAAGAAAAAAAAAAGTAAAATTCAAAAAGTAAAACTTTAAGCGTTTCTTCTCAGGTAAAGTGACTTTACACTGATTTGCCCGGTGCAAAACATGAATCATTTCTGCCTTCAACTTTTGGAGAGCAAATTTTTTGTCAAAGACTTCAATAATCTTGTTTCTTTTTAATACTCCACCATTACAAAAAAAAAATCGTAACAAATTGTACCACAAACCATTATATGTTCAACAGAAGTCAAAATAAAATAAAATTAAAAAAAAAAAGTACCGTGCAATGAATGAATTATACGATGAAAAAATAATAAGAAAAATCGAGAATGAAATTAGCCAGATATTTTACGTTGAAATTTTCCATTTAGCACGGCACTTTGAACGGATAGAACGAAGATAAAATGTCTCGGGGGGTGACGGAAAAGCAGAAATCATGTCTTAAGAAGACCATCAATCCTATAATCATTGGAATGCTACCATGTTTTATAACCAAGAATATATTATAACGGAATATAAGTAATATATAATATATATAATAATATATATATATATATATATATATATATATATATATAAACAGAATAATATAATATATATATATATATATATATATATATATATATATATATATATATATATATATATGGCCTGACGATTGCATATAGCATGAAACAGACTGACGCCTCTAAGTGTTGACTTCTATGTTCACTTTTATATTTACACACGCTCTATGTCTGATCTTGAGCACTTTATCCCATAAATATTGCACACCTTAAGACTATATTTCTTTATATTATATATATATATATATATATATATATATATATATATATATATATATGATTAGAAAAAAGTACAGCAAGAAATCAAACTGGGAATGGGTTATTCTAGCAATTCCACCTCAAACCGGTCTCTACCCAAACTCAGAAACCAATATTGGATAGTCGCCCCAGTTCCTCTGTTTATTACTCGCATCCGCTGATGAAGAACACAGGTGGTTTCGAAAAGTCCGAACTGAACCCTTTATTTCACTCACTGGGATAGACTGTTCTAGTTCCACGTGCTATGTCTAATGGGTGTCAGTTATCAGTTATCTCCTGTTAATTCCCTTCTCCAAGTTCTCCACTGCCTAAACCAGGTATTGAACTCACACTCTTTGGGTCCTGTCACTGGATGTAAATGTTGTGATAAATATGGCAACAAAGATGAAGACTATAGCCCAAACAATGTAAATAGTGTACATAATACCTCATCTCGGAAATATACACAGATATATAGCAGGGTGATTAAAAATGTAACTCCCTATTTTATGTATGATGGACTCTGACGTCTTGTAGAAATTATAGTTAAACGGGAGAATCCATCATACATAAAATAGGGAGTTATTTTCAATCCCCCATTATGTGCATGAAAACCGAGTTTTACGCTCACGTAATCTTCAAACACTAATGAAACAAGGATGAAACAGTTTTATATAACCCTTGACCGTAAACTACGTACTTTAAAGCCATTAGACCAACACGGTTTTTTTTTGTTTTGTTTTTTTGCTTATCTTCTTTTTCCACTGAGAGGGTGTGGTTATTCCGGTGATGCTTCAAGTTACGTGCTTTACGGTCATGGGCTATATAAAGCTGGTTGCTACCCTCCTTTCATTTGTGTTCAAGTCGTCTGAAGATCGCGTAAGCTAGAAACTCGGGTTACGACTAGGGCTATCCTTTCATAAGAATTAACGTTGTAAAGCCTTTTTTTATTTTTAGCTCTGTCTAGGTAATTTGGGCGTTGAGCACTTCACTGGTTTGGTAGGGTTCTGCCTTTGGGTCTTTTTTCATTTGTTGTACTTGTTCGAGATTTCATCTTGTTTAAATGTATTTAGGTCTTTGGCAAGTTGTCTGTTGATTCCATCAATGGCTTCGTTTTTTCTTTAATAATTATATATATATATATATATATATATATATATATATAGAGAGAGAGAGAGAGAAGAAAAGATAGATAGATAGATAATATTAGTGGTATATATATATATATATATATATATATATATATATATATATATATAAGTTCCCAAGAGAATAGAATCCAGGTAGAACTCAATGTCCAGGACAGTAAGAATATAAGAGGCTTAAACACTAATATTCCATGGTTATAATTTATTACATTGTAATCGTAATCACGATCCAATTCATCAGACCTACAAATTCAAAAAGCTTTTTGAATTTGGATAGTGATTACGATATTGAGTCACCCCCCCGCAACGAGGGTGTCATGTGGCACAAGGCCTTTTTAAAGTGGGCATTCCGAGCCCCTGGGCTCGGGCAAAAATATGCCCATTGAACCCGTATAAACGGGTTCAGGGCCGGTTTACCTCCCTTAAGGAGACTCCGCCCTTCGGCGTAGCCTCCTTCGGGTTCCTCCCGTCCGTAGGAAGAGAGTTCAAACCGAGCAGTCGGTTCAAAAGTGAACGACTGACTCACTCAATAGTGGATAGTGATTACTCTTCCAATGTAATAAATTATAACCATGGAATATTAGTGTTTGAGCCTCTCATATCATTATTTTAACATATATTATTACATACGATAGACAATGAATGTCTATTATGTCTGATCATGAGCCATTCTAATTGTTCGAATGTTTGCTTTAATTTCGGGTGAAAACAAAGACAAAAATTGTCTAATATTTGGATATTGTTTTTATTAAATTAGTCCCAAGCCCTCGGCTAACACAAGCCATCCCTAGAGTGGCCATACAGACATGAAACAAAGACATCCACCGTCAAAGCTGATATTTTGTTATTTTGACATAGAAAATTGCTATGCGACGATAACAGACACAAATCGTAATTTCAAGATGTTGTTCTATGACGTCATAACACGCGATACACTGAAGCATTACAACAGAGCCAATGTCTAGATGCAATGTAATGTGTTGCGACTAGTTTGAAATGTAATTTTGTAAAACCAATATATGTAGCGGGTTTATTATTCGCATCAGATAATAAATCTTCTACATATATTGGTTTTACTACAACCACGCTCTCCCGTAGACTTACCTGTCACATTTCTGATCTTCTATTAAGCAACATTTCTTTAAAAAAACAGCCATGTACATAATATTAGACAGATATTAGTTGATAACACACCAATTGTCGCACATACACACAGTAAAAAAGAACCTTCAGATATTGGAGGCCATCTACATTGAAAAAAAAAGCAACCAAAAACAAAATTGCTAAAAACAAAAACTGAAGTGAAAGACACTCATACGTCGAAAACGACAGGAGAATCCATCATCATATGAATATGAATATGGTAATAGTATACTTTTAAGGTACGCTATATTTATGGGTAAACTGCTCCATTACAGGAATAGAACGTATGTAAATATAAAACTAGACACTGAGATCAACACTATCGGCGACAATCTGTTTCATGCTTCAACGCCATCTTCAGGCCTGAAGAATATGTTCAAGCATGAATCGCACCGTCGCCGCTCAGTGTTGATCTCAGTGTCCAGTTTTTTATACTCATCTTCGGTGATCGTACGGGACCCGGTGCTTCAAATTGATGCGGCAATAAGTCTTTTTTCCTTAATTTTAATTTCTTTAATTACTTCCCAGCCATATTTTTAAAAGCAATATCTTCTCACAGGGATATAGACTAGGTCTATCCAATTAGAATCGAACTCATTATTTTCTCTTTAAGACTGTCTAAATCGCACTCTAACCATGAAAATCTTCATCATCAGCAGCAGCATCACCATCAGTCCCATCATCGGGGTGATCGTAGAGCCTCTGTAACGTGTCTCCAGGTCATTACTGTTTGTGCACATATATCGTAGATAGTTGCTAGGAATAATGTTTAACCACAATAGCGTGACATATCCAGTAAACAAAAAAAAAAACAGTGCCCTTCTACACTAAAATGATCCCATTACCCTATAAACTGTCCACGGGCCAAATTGAGATAAATCATTGCCAATGGAGAGATATAAGCATTCATCAAATACTGTCATCGTCAGTGAATTCAAATATTTCTCAAATTTTTCTGCCCAACTATATTGGTCTCATCAATCATCTGCTAGCCTACACTAAATGTAATGTCTTCTTAAGTATTAGTCTTCGAAGCTAATAACACACACACACACACACATATATATATATATATATATATATATATATATATATATATATATATGTATGTGTGTGTGTGTGTGTGTGATTTTTTTTTCATAAAAGTTTCGCACAGCGAGGGATCAGACAGAAATGGGGGTTTTGCTAATATGATCCCAACCAGAAAATACGCCGTCCACAAAAACATGTATTGCTGAGTAATTCCCATTCCTCTGTTCATTTCTCGCTACGTTGTGGAAACACATAGACGTGTCCGAAAAAGCTTTATTTCCGGGCTTTCTTTCTGTCATATGGTTAATAACTAATATTAATAAAAAATTTTCATACTGTTTATATATATATATATATATATATACATATGTATATATAAGAGTGAAAATTGGGGTCAACACTCAGGGGCGACAGGCTGTTTCATGCTAGACACAATCGTCAGACCGCAAATGTTGGATTTTTCCTCGATTATTCATATATATGGTCATCCAACATTCACGGCCTGGCGATTGCGTCTAGTATGAAACAGCCTGTCGCCTCTGAGTGTTGACTTCAATGTTCACTTTTATATTTATATTTATATACGCTCTATATCTGATATTGAGCACTTTATCCCATAAATATAGCACACCTTAAAACTATATTCCTTCATATGTATATATATATATATATATATATATATATATATGTGTGTGTGTGTGTGTGTGTGTGTGTGTGTGTGTGTGTGTGTGTGTGTGTATAGCATATATATGTATATACAGGGAGTCACAAAAATGTATTCCCTCTTTAAGAGGATGACAATAATTGAATTACAAATAGGATTAATTAAAAAATATAAATGCTTATTGCCTTACAAATAAGATTAATGGTTTAAATTAAATGTTAATCATCATCAACATCATCATCATCATCATCCCCTTGACTTTTGTAATCGTTTGGTGGATCCTAATGCAGAAGCTTCACTAACTCTTTTCCACAATGGTCTATTATCGACACCCATCAGCAATTCTGGTACACTAATACCTGTCCTTTGTTTGACATTGTCCAACCAGTTTTTGTGTTAGCGCCCTCTCCTACATCCACCTTCAATGGTGCATTGCATGATGGTCTTGCATAGGCTGCCTTGCCTTGTAATGTGTCCAAACCGCGTCATTTTTCTCTGTTTAACTGCGACGAAAAGATGTCCCTGGTGCCCCACAAAACTTTCTATTCATTTCCACATAAACTCATTAGTTTTTTGTTCCCAATAGAAAATGCCAAGGAGTTTTCTCATGGATTTGTTCTAAAACGCTTGGATCATTCTCTCTGTTTTTGCCAACAGCGTCCACGTCTCACGTCCAAATAGGAAAATGGAGACTACCAGCGATTTGTATAGCCTGATTTCAATTAAATGTTAAATTAAATTAAATGCATCTTTATAAATATTCAAATTGACAGTGTGTACCTTTTTGATACGGTACCCTGTATATAAATGCAATAAAAAGGGGAGTAATATAAAATTTCATTACTGTAGACTGATAACTCAATTCTCCAGGAGCTTGACGTGTGAGTACCTGACCACACAAAAATTTGAAACATAAACTTGGTGACTTGACTGAAACTGAGATATCCAAAAAAAAGCCATGTCACTTATAATTAAAACAATTCTAAATAAAGCATTCGGTTCGATATTCCAACGCATATCATCTGAAGAAGGCCAGAGCGTACAACGGCCGGAACGTCATGAATATGGCAATAACGATGAGAACAACAGTCAGAATGGTGTCAATAGTTAAAATAGCTCATCCCAGAAATACGGACAGATTTTACTTCGTCCAGAAACTAAATTAGTAATTCAGTGATTAATGCATTGGCACGACACTATACACAACAAAGTGTTCACTTTCATACAAAAATACTCAATCTTAATGCAGATTAGTTACGCATATAGAATCTGATGAACATTCAAGCACACTTTCAGACCCTATTAACGTACGTCAGCGCATAAAAAATAAAATGATTCTAATATCAATTGATTTCCTCTTTACTTAAAAAAGGAATTGAGCAAGAAAATCAAATAGGTGGCAAAAAAGTTAATTTCCCAGAAGATTTCAAAATTCCTGACCCGTCCAAGTAGTTAACAACTTGAATCAACCTTCGAAAAACTAATTTAATATTAAAGCCAAAACGTTATATGCAAAAGATCAATATTTTGTGCATAGTCCCCGTAAAAGTGACATCGGGCCGCCGATGAAGATGTATTTGCTAAGGAAAGAAATTAACAAAGAAACAGATTGATAAACCATATCTTTGCTCGGGTTTGCTAGTTTTAAAATCCTCATCGGTTTATCGTTTTTTTCCCTAATAGATAAAAGACAAACTCTCTCAGCTATGTCAATTCATCTTGTACATGCGTGATTTTAGTTTATGTAAATTATGTCTGCTTCCGAATAATTCAGATATTAAACCACGATCAGGCATTGAAGAGTTCAGATTCCTCAGGGAGAATTCTAGAATAAATACTATATTTTATAACCAATAATATACTATAACGAAAAACAAAATCACACGTACACATTTATAACACACACACGCACACACACACACACACACACACACACATATATATATATATATATATATATATATATATATATATATATATATATTTGTGTATTTAAGCAGCCATCCTTCTTTCATTCACATTTCATTGAAAACGACAGACAAGTTAAAATATAATCCTTGAAAATGGCTAAATGTAAAAAAGAATATTCGGACAGTTTTTAGATAATTTATCATCCGAAAAAAAACAATATTAGATCGCATGAGAAATTGTATGAAAAACTAAATAAAAGCACCTTGTCTGTCGTTTCCAATGAAATGTACATACATACATATTCTGTTTATACGTTATTTTTAAAGATACAATTATTTAAGTAAATGCTCTGTATATAATAAACAGGATTAAGTACATTTACCAGCCTGAATATCAGAGAAATTTCATATAAAATATGTGTCCTCAAACACGAATTGTCAGACTTTGGCCATTTTATATATATATATATATATATATATATATATATATATATATATATATATATATATTATGAAACATGTATGAATATATATATATACATATATATATATATATATATATATATATATATATATAGGCTTATGGACATATCACGTTGAAGCAACGTTGAGAATACCAGGATAATGCCTCATAATTGTTAATCCGAATGCTGAGTTCAAATTCTCGCTGTGTTCGTTATATTCGCTTACGCGAAACACACCTGGCAAAGGTATAAATCCAACTCTTCTCTCCCCAACTATGGGTTAATTAGTAAAATTTTATCACTAAACCATTATTATCTCAAAAAAAAATACGATCAGTTACTTCCTGGCTTTAAATAACCTGCAAAATCAAGGGGTTGATAAGCCGTAGAAAACGAATCAATATAGGTGTGCGTGTGTGTGTGTGCGCTCGCGCGTGTGTGTGTGTGCTTCTGTGTGTATGTGTCGTATCCGAGCTTATCTGCTGCAGGCCCATTTGTGTTTGTTCAATTTCCCTACAAAGCCCACCTGTGGTTTATACTGCAACTACGCTGACTGGACCTTAATTACAGTTTTTGACGTGATGAACAATTGGAACATGACCAGTATGATTAAACAAACCCTCGGTCACGATGACTTGTGACTTCATTCTAGCACAAACATCAACGACCTCTACCCAATTAATTTTTATTAATATTAGTAAAAGTTTGTCACTTGGGGGATTGATGATACCTTCAACATCCCGACACCAGAGTTTCGTAGACAAACCCGCCCGTCCACTATTCAGGCGATATCAGCAATTGACTGTTTATATATGTTTTCTTTTCTATGCATATTTTTTTACATTGGTGTAAGTTTTTTCCTTATTGTTTGCGGCCCGTCTGCGCGGATGTGCGTCCGTGTAGGGTGACATGATTATTTGTCTTTTTTTTTCGTATTTTGGGAAGAGGTTCTTCCACCTTTACACTAACTCCTTAGCTTTTTCTCTTGTTTTTTCCTTTTCCTCTTTTCTTTTAGTTGCAGCTATCTGTAGTTAGTGTGAGTATTTGCGCAGCAATTTTATTATATAGCGTTTTTTGTTAAAACTATTGATGTTTAATTTTTTTATTCAATTTTCTGCAATGTTTTGAAGTTAGTTTCGGCTTTCCTAAGTCACTATCAAAGAATATTGACGAGGTGATAAGGTTTTGTACAAGCATTTTGTTTTATTGGTGTTTTTAGTATCCTGTCTTCATTTATCTGTGAGTTTTATGCCGGCGTTTTTTTCAAATATTGCGTCGCTATACATGGACAACGTAACGAGAATATTCTACCCCCGTATATTGAAAGAAAGTTTCCGTTAGAAATTCCATGGTGGTTAATTGAAGAAAGCCGGAGAGCACAACGGCTAAAGACTTTTGATAATAACTAGGATGATGGCATTAGTTCCACTGTAATGGTAACGGCAATGGTAATATTAACAGTTTCCTTATAGGCTGTTGTTCATTGACCGAACAGTAGCTTGTAACATTGTCTGGGTTGAATTTATAAATTTGTTCGCAACACAGCTCAAAAGCCCAGTAGATGTTATAGCTCTTTCCGGTATTGATGAGGTTTTACTATCTAACCTTTTATTGGAAGAAGTATGAAATGTGAACACAGGTGAACTGAAAAGTGCATAGGTTGACTATGAAGCAATGATACTAGAGCTGTGAAATATTGCATGCATTAATTTCAATTCTTCTTATTAATAAATGCATTGTTTCTTTTCAGGTACGACGGTGGGCTGAAAAGTTCATAGGCTGATTTGAAGGATTGATGTTAGAGCTGTGAAATATTGCATGCATTAATTTCAATTCTTCTTATTAATAAATGC